TCATACATTGATTTTCCATCAAAATTTAAAACCGAAAAGGAAATTTCTCCATGCATGTGGTTTTGTTTAGTATCTTGATGCTTCTTCTTTCTTTGCACTATTACAAAGACAATTGTAAAGAAAGCAGATAGAAGTACAAATACGGCTAGAACAGAGAATATGACTTTGTGGTCCTTTTTTGAGCCATGTGCATTGCAGGGTGGCAGCAGAGCTCCAACTTTGCCACACAATCCTTTGTTCCTTTTCAATCTTTCTGGAAGAGCTTCTCGAAATGCACTGATATTGGGAAGGGGACCTTCCAAGTGATTGTAGGATATGTCAACGTACGACAAGCCGTGCATCTCTTCGAAACTTGATGGTATGGAACCCGAAAGATTGTTGTGGGAAAGATTGAGCGTCACCAAACTCTCCATATTGCTCATTGCTGATGGTATGCTACCTTCAAGAGAGTTATGACTTAAATCGAGGTCGGTCAATTGAACTAACTTCTGCAACTCCAATGGAATTGCTTGAACCAACTTGTTGTTGCTCAAATTCAAGTAGTGCAATTTGAACAAGTCACCTAGAATGCTCGGAATTGACTCATTCAATTTGTTTGTTGACAAGTCAAGATATTCAAGATCATTCAATGATCCGAATTCCGACGGTATACGACCCGAAAGTTGATTTCCATTCAACATCAACTTCACCAACGAAGACAACTTCTCGAATTCTTTTGGGATCAACCCAAATAAATGATTTGAAGAAAGGTCCAGCACATGAATTTGGGTTGCGTTGCCTACCTCAGGTGGTATGCTACCAGTAAGGTTGTTTGCTGCCATTACTAAGGCTGTCAGCTTTGGGCATTGTCCCCAGTTGTGTGAGATTTCTCCATACAAGTTGTTGTGGCTTATATTCATAAAATCAAGATTCGGATAAATACCGAAGTCTTTAGATATATTGCCCGTCAATTGGTTTTGGTCAAGGCGGACTCTTACTAAGCTTGTGCAATTTTTCAAGCTTTTGGGGATTGGACCAGTAAAATAGTTTCTGAATACTGAAAAGTATGTGAGTTTTCCACCTTGGCAGATATTTGGGGGCAAGTAACCAGACAATTGGTTCATATCCCAGTACAGTTGAGTCAAATTCTTGAGATTCTCTAACTCTTGAGGAATGGAGCCGGAAAGTTGGTTATTGCATAGGTATAAGATCTCCAAGTTGCTCAAGTTAGCAAATGAGGCTGGAATTGAACCATTGAGTTGATTCAAGGCCAACTCTAGATTTACAAGAGATTTCAAGTTCCCTATCTCCTTGGGAATCAAACCAGAAAGTAAATTTTTACCCAAGTACAAAGTGTTCAGCTTTATTAAGTTACCAATATTTGGAGGGATGAGACCAGTTAAATTGTTGTCGGACAATGCTAGAAATCCAAGAGATTTCAGGTTGCCTATCTCTTTAGGAATTTCCCCCAACAAAGTATTTTTTGAGAGACGAAGAAACCTAAGATTTCTTAGGAGACCGATTTCTGGTGGGATTCTCCCAGAGAACTGATTCTGGGAGAGATCAAGATGGTGGAGTTTGGAGAGGTAGCTGATTTGAGGTGGGATGGCATCAAAGAGTTTGTTCAAGCTAAGGTTAAGATATTCAAGATTAGGGAAGAACAAGAATGAAAACTCATGTAGCGTACCTTGAATACCACAAGTGGAAAGGTTTATTGTGCTGACACTTCCAGCTGAGTTGCATGAAACACCAGTCCAAGTGCATGGGCTTGTTTTTGGTTTTGGATTGCTGCTGGAAGAATTGGTGGCATTAATATTATGAGTGGGAGGGTTGTACCAGGTGAGGTTATTTAGGGCTTGATTTAGAAATAAGCTGGCTTTCCATTTGAGAAGAGCCTTTGCTTCAGTATGAGAAGTAGAAGTAGCAGAAGGAAAAGCAACCCAATTTGGTGATGAAACATACAACAAGATGACAAGGCAATAACGCAGGAAGCATAGTTTAGCGGAAGTTAAAGTTGTCATGGTTATTCTTTGTGTGGTATACGTATATTGTATGGGCCGTGCCTTACTACTTATATATATAGTGTGGGTTAGTCTTTGGGGTTCAGTTGAGCATTGAAAAGTCTTTGAGAGCGTGTTCCTTGTGCTCTTGATTAAGTTGTGTGCGAACCCGTGGTCTTCTTGGACCTCAAATTCACACCTGAATGTCACCATGGCATTGGACAATGAAATTATTGTTTCATTTTTTCTTTCCCTCTCACAAGGAAAAGCATTTCTAAGTAACAATATAAAAGTGAAGTAAAATAGAAATTAATGTAGGGTAAGGATATAATAGGAAAGAGAAAGAACAAAATTAATTAAAAAATATTAAAAAGCAAAATGGAGTGTAAGTGGAGAAAAGAGGAGTGGGTAAATCAGCTCCCTATAAGATATTGTTTGTGTAGATATGCTAGATAGCATAATGATATGTCATAAAATCCAAGTCTCATGATTTTATTATGTGGCCCATTCTCTTTTCCACAATAAAATCCAAGTCTTCAAAGTTCAAGACTTCGAAAGGTCTTTCCTTTTTTTCATTTTCTTAATCGGAAGACGGTTTGGGAAGACTTTTGGGGTTTTGCACACCCTTGAGTCAGAGTCTCTTTGGAAATTTTGCATTTTGTGTTGGAACTGAATGGAATGAGATTGATGGAAGTGAGAGCTTGATTGGATGTTATTGGTGGATCGTCGTATGCGCTTGACAGAAGACAAAAGAGACCTGGGGTAATGCTAGGCTTACCACATTTTTCATACCACATTGTATACCACATCTCTAATAGAGGTGGTGCCCACCAATACAATGGGGCCCACCTCTATTAGAGAGGTGGTATACAATGTGGTATGAAAAATGTGGTAAGCCTAGCATTTTCCAAGAGACCTGGGAGTGGCTGTCACTTCACCTGCGTCGTTGTGGCCCTACATATATTTCAAAACAAAAGAATTAGTTTTGCAGAAAGTGGGTAGGATATTTATGTAATTACTAATCAAGAATTGAAATTTTTATAAGGAATTGAATTCCATTTATTGAGGATTCCTGTGTTTACTTCATTTTTCCTTTCCCTCTTACAAGGAAAAACATTTGTAAGTAACAACGGTTTGGGTTTTTCACATTGAAAGTCTTTGTCCCTTTTCTTTAAAGTTGGAATTGCAACTTTTGCATTTTCTCAAAGCATGATTAACACTGAAAGTGCGCTAGCCAGACAGAGGAAATGGTATAGTCCTGTCACGACTAGAACAATTCAAACAAAACATGCTTCTTGCTTTGCTTTACTGGAAAAATTAATCCACTCCCGCTTTTCCCAACAAATCTGAAGAAGAATAACTCGTCAATGTAATTTCATCCACGACATTCATTTCCATCCTTTTTTTTCTTCTTTCTTTCTGACCTAAATCATCACGTGAAGAATAAGTTCCAAAGTAATGATAGTTGTATACATTTCAGTCCCATTTCCTAAATTTTGATGGGTGCATTTTTGCTTACTACTTTAACTCAAGGTGTATCATCACTACATTTCTCAACACTTGACATGTGTCTATGGGTATAATCATGGTTGGTTCCACAAATACAAATCAAAGAGTTAACTATGGTTATGCCCATGGATACATGTCAAGTGTTAAGAATGGTGGTTAGGATATACCTTGAGTTAAAGTGGTGAGCAAAAATATTTCCAAATTTTGAAAACATTATTGACATTCTAAATTTTGATTCAAGCGCTTTGACTTTCACACACTGTTTGTGTCATAATCTTCACTTTTATCCAGGTTTAGTCCCTGATGAATTTATTATGAGCTAACTTGTGGTTTATATGACCTGATTTCATGAGCATTCCACAAGTGATTAGCCTGAGTGGAAGTATTTGTCCCTTATCTTAGCATTTTCTCAAAGCATGCTTAACTGGAAGTGCGCTTGCAAGACACAGCAAATGGCAGTCCTGTCAAGCAAAGCATGCATCTTGTTTTGTTTTAGTGGAAAAATTAATTCACTCTAGCTGTACCCAACAAATCTGAAGAAGAATAACTCGTCAATGTAATTTTCATCGACGCCACTCATTACCATGCTCTTTTCTTTCTTTCTATTATGATCTATACATTTTACTCCAATTTTCAACAAATCATGAACGTGAAGAATTGAAGTTTCAAAGTAATGATAGTTCTAAACATTTTACTCCAATTTCCTATTCAAAATTTTGATTTAACATTTGTGACATTCTAAGGGCCTGTTTGATAACCATTTTAGCTTTCAATTTTTATTTGTAAAAAAATTAAAAATATGAAACTCGTTTGGTAATTGTTTTCAATTTTCAAATAAAAGATTAATTGAAAATTGTTTATAAGTTGTTTGATAATTGTTTTCAGTTTTCAGTTTTATGTGAAACTTGGAAATGAAATTTTCTTGGGGTCAAATTGTGAATTTGAGGTTATAACATGAAAATGCATGTTACAATACAAAGAGACTGTAGCATTAATTTTTTTGGAGTTTAGGATGAGTTTTTAGTGAATTTCGAGGCTCGGACTGGGTCTGTGATGAATGCAAAAGTCGGTCGGTCCCGAGGGTCGGACTAGAGGGCTTAAATGCTTTTTTCAGAACTAGTTTCACAACAAACAAAATAAGGAAATCAAAACAAAAAAGAAAAAAGAAGAGTTGAAAGTTCATCACTACAATATATTTTATTAAACAGGATCATCTTATTTTTGTGTCATGCTCAGATACGGTACTCAAAGTACCATTCAGAGCATAGATCAGTTGCTCAAGTGTGATGTTGGGACCTAATCCTATGAATTCTCTGATACTAAAAATGCATGACACTATAAAAGCAACTTTAAAAAAAAAACGACAATGTGGATTGGAACCTAATGCTGCAAAACCTGCTACATATCCTTATTTTATTTTTCATTCTTCACTTTCATAAATCTCTCTTAGGTTCAAACAAAAATGGTTTTCAAAAGAGGAGAGTTATAAGCTAACCTTGATGAAGTCGAGGATAACTGCTGCATCGGAACTCAACTTTATTTCCACTAACTCGTTTGCTACAAGCAAACATCCTTTGTCCACATCATCACTTCACCACCTAATTCTTAGATTCATAATGTAGAAAAGAAAAAAATGTAGACTCCCTATTTGTGACCATTATACATTTAGTCACCAAGAAATTGGTCACTACTGACCCTTTTTCTTGTAGCGAACATTTACATGTACAAAATCTAACAAGAATTAGAACAAGGCAGACAAAAATGAAGTGAAATACAGCAAACGCAGTACATATCCTAATCAGGTAGTGAAACCATCAAGAGCAAGCAATTCACTAAATGTTGTCATATGCAATGGCTCTGACAAATGCAGCCTCTGAGTTGATGAAAGGAGCTGAGAAACTTTCTTCATCGTTGGACGACACTGTGGACTGGGATTCAAGGATGCAAATGCTATCTTCACAAGAGACACCACCTCCTCTGCTTCTCGTTTTGTGAGTGGCGAGATGCGTTGGTCCAGAACGTCCAAAATTGGCATTTCCGGGGTAGGTGATGCAGATGAGGAAGACGATGATGCCCCGGATGATAAAGATGAGAAAACATCTCCTGGATGTCTTCCCATAATTATTTCCAGTGTGACAACTCCAAAGCTATAAACATCGCACTTCTCGGTCACTTCCATTGTATATGCAAGCTCTGTTCAGAAACAGCTCACATAAGAAATTGTATCATCCATAAATCGTACACACAACATTTCAGTGGTCAAAACATTACCTGGAGCCATGTAGCCATATGTGCCTGCAGCAGCAGTCCAATTAGTTGAGTCTGGATTTAAAAACTTGGCAGTGCCAAAGTCAGAAACACAGGCCTCATATTCAGAATCCAGCAAAATGTTGTTGCTTGATATGTCACGATGCACAATTGGTGGCAAGCAATCGTGGTGCATGTACGACAATGCATGAGCTACACCTTTCACAATATTCACCCTTTTGCTCCACCCCAACTCTTTAGCTTTATCATCTTTGCCCAACAATGAGGCCAAGCTTCCCCTTTCAAAATACTCATACACCAAGAATGAGTGTCTTCGATGTGAACAGAAACCATAAAGCTTCACAATGTTTCGGTGTCTTATCTCAGACAGTGCCCTTATTTCATTTAAGAATTCCTTTTGAAGATTCTTCTGGTCGTTCTGTAAGATATGGAGTTTCTTCACAGCAACTACATTGGCAGATGACAAATTTGCTCTGTAGACGCTTCCATGTCCCCCCTTCCCAATGCAATGTGTTGAATCAAAATCTTCTGTTGCCCTTATGATTTCCTCATACATTGATTTCCCATCAAAATTTAGAACTGAAAAGGAAATTTCTTCATGCTTGTGGTTTTCGTCTTTATCCTTATGCTTCTTCCTTCTTTGCACTATAAAGACAATTGTAAAGAAAGCAGATAGAAGTACAAATACTGCTAGAAGGGAGAATGTGATTCCAAATACCCGTTTTTGGTGCTTTTTTGAGCCATGTTCATTGCAGGGCGGCAGTAGAGCTCCAACTTTGCCACACAATCCATTGTTCCCTTTTAATGCTTCTGGCGGAGCTTCTCGAAATGCACTGTTGTTGGGAAGGGGACCTTCCAATTGATTGTAGGATACATCAATGTACAACAAGCCGCGCATGTCTTGGAAATTTGTTGGTATGAAACCCGAAAGATTGTTGTGGGAAAGATTGAGTGTCAACAAACTCTGCATGCTGCTCATTTCCGATGGTATCATACCTCCGAGTGAGTTATGACTTAAATCGAGGTCGGTCAATTGAACTAACTTCTGCAACTCCAATGGAATTGCTTGAACCAACTCGTTGTTGCTCAAATTCAAGTAGTGTAATCTGAACAAGTCTCCTACAATGCTTGGAATTGACTCATTCAATTTGTTTGTTGACAAGTCAATATATTCAAGATCAAGCAATGATCCGAATTCTGAGGGTATACGACCCGAAATTTGATTTCCATTCAACATCAGCTTCACCAGAGAAGATAGTCTCCCAAATTCCTTGGGGATCGTGCCAGCTAAATGATTCGAAGAGAGATCCAACTCATGAATTTGGGTTGCATTTCCTATCTCAGCCGGTATGCTCCCAGTAAGGTTGTTTCCCGCAAGTCGTAGGGTTTTTAGTTGTGCGCATTGTCCCCAGTTGTTTGAGACTTCTCCATACAAGTTATTGTGGCTTACATCTATAAAATCAAGATTCGGATAAACACCAAAGTCTTCAGATATATTGCCTGTCAATTGGTTCCTTTGAAGATGGACTCTGAATAAGCTCGTGCATGTTTTTAAGGTTTTGGGGATTGGACCAGAGAAATTGTTGGTGCTTGCTGAAAAGTTTGTGAGTTTTCCACTTTGGCAAATATTTCGGGGCAAATAACCAGAAAATTGGTTTATTTCCAACTGCAGTTGAGCCAACTTCTTGAGATTCTCTATCTCTTCAGGAATGGAGCCGGAAAGTTGGTTATCCCGTAGCATTAAGAACTCCAAGTTGGTCAGGTTACCAAATGAAGCATGAATTATACCGCTGAGTTGGTTTTGGCTCAAGTCTAGATCTACAAGAGACTTCATATTACCTATCTCATTGGGAATAGTGCCAGAAGGTTGATTGCCGTAGAGATAAAGGGTGGTAAGGCTTGTTAGTTCTGTTGAGAATTAATGACTAACTCACTGCCCTTTTAAGATCTTGTTGTTGATGGACTTTGGACAAAGATCACCTAGTGATCTTGGAATTGAACCATTGAGTTGATTGTTATACAAATATAGCCCCACAAGAGATTTCATGTTGCCTATCTCACTGGGAATATCCCCAAATAATGTGTTTTTAGAGAGAATGAGTTTGGTAAGATTTTTTAGGAGACTAATTTCTGGTGGGATTCTCCCGGACAACTGATTCTGAGAGAGATCAAGATAGTGGAGTGTGGAGAGGTAACTGATTTGAGGTGGGATGAGGCCACTTAAATTGTTGGCGGACAAATCTAGAATTACTAGAGATTTCAAATTCCCTATCTCTTCAGGTATAGAACCAGAAAGTGGATTGTTATAGAGATAAAGATGGGTAAGGCTTGTTAGATCACCTAGTGATCTTGGAATTGAGCCATTGAGTTGATTCTTAAACAAATATAGCCCCACAAGAGATTTCAGGTTGCCTATCTCATTGGGAATATCCCCAAAAAATGTATTTTCATAGAGACCAAGAAATGTAAGATTTCTCAAGAGACTGATTTCTGGTGGGATTCTCCCGGACAACTGATTTGTAGAGAGATCAAGATAGTAGAGTTTGGAGAGGTTACTGATTTGAGGTGGGATGACATCAAAGAGTTTGTTCAGGCCGAGGTCAAGATATTCAAGGTTAGGGAAGGACATGAATGAAAATGCATGTAGCGTACCTTGTATACCACAAGTGGAAAGGACTATCATGCTGACACTTCCAGCTGCGTTGCATGAAACACCAGTCCAAGTGCATGGGCTTGTTCTTGGTTTTTGATTGCTGCTGGAAGAATTGGTGGTGGTGTTATGAGTGGGAGGGTACCAGTTGAGTTTTTTGAGGGCTTGATTTTGAAATAAGCTGGCTTTCCATTTGAGAAGAGCCTTTGCTTCGGTATCTGTCGTAGAAGTAGCAGAAGCAAAAGCAACCCAATTTGGTGACGAAACATACAACAACATAAGGCAAGGCAGGAAGCATAGTTTAACGGAAGTTAAAGATGTCATGGTTATTGTTTGTGTGGTTTACGTATGGCCAGTGCCTTACTTATAGTCTTTGAGGGTCAGAATTGAAAGGCAGTCTTTCGGATCTCTTGTATCCTCAGTTTTGTTTTGAGTCAAAGTCTTTGTCTCTCATTCTCTAAAGTTGAATGCTAATTTTGCATTTTCTGTATGAATTAATGAAATGAAAGTGATGCAAGTGAGGGGTTACTAATTGATGCTCAGAAAGTTGTAATGGACAACGATTCTGGTGGGATCAGCAACTCATTTTTCTTTTTCTTCGTCTTCTCTTATTGGTGTGTGTTAGAAGAACTAAACGCAAAATTGTCGTCTATTTTTGTGATTTGTACCATACATAGGAATAGGAATGTGAAATTGATGATGAGGTCAAGTTCTTGTCATTATTGCGAGAGAACTTAACAGATCAATTGACTTTACTCTGAAAATGTGTGTGTAAGCTGGATTAATTGACTTTGTTTTCACCTTCGGGCTCACGCACATGACTTAAAAGATCATTCAATATTCTGTGTTTTTTCTTCTTTTATTTTTGGAAATGTATTCTGCTTGGGTCCTATTATGTCCTGCTTATTGAGGGAAAACCTGATCATGCAGGCGGCGTTGTGGTTTTATTTTTTTTATTTTTTGGGCATTCCTCCTCAATCTCAATATTTTCCAAATAAACCCTACATATTTCAGAACAGAGAATAAGACTCTGAATTTCTCGGGAGTATTCTATTTGTATATTGTATATTTGAGTTTTCATTAATTGAATTAAGGTTGGGGCCAATGGGTCTAGCGAGTGGAAAATGATCTTGCTTGCAAATCAGTGGTTTCATATTCAAACTCTCATGACCTCTTAGCTGTGTGTTTGAGAAAACCCCCCTCCCCTTCCTAACTTTGGCCAAAAAAAAATTGTTGAATATTTACTCAGATTTATTTAAGAGTGTGGAGGCATAATTAGTTACTATGAATATATGATTCATGACGCTAAGGATTGGATTTGGGAGGATAGCGGATTTAAACGCTGTAACTCTTTCAACAACTAATAAAGAGGTTTTCTCGTAGTGCTTAAGTTATGAAACTATTTTTCAGTGCTTTTTGGAGAGGCACCTAGGGCCATCCCCAATTGGAGCCTCTAAACTGAGGTTCTATCCACTGCATTTGCCTCCTTTTAAAGTCTAGTGGGAATCTTTGGGACTTTAAATGAATAATTGCACCAATGGGATGCTCTACACTACCACTTTTTTCTTTGTAAACATTTCAACCCAAAACAAAACATTGTGAATCAATTTTCAACAGAATCTTTGATGAAGTTGCAGTTATTACAACATATTTTTAATATTTTTAAGTCGCAACATGTGTACTATGTTAAAGTATCAACCCTAGCTCAACCCATTTTGAGGAGCAATCTCTACAAGGTTCTAGAAGTATAAACAACAAGGAAATAAAGCCTAGAGAAGATAGTCAATACTTGAGCTAGATAAGTAGAGAAAAATCTGGAAAAGTGAAGGAAGTTCCACCGACCTAGTAACTAGTATTGTAATAGATTAATGTAGTTGATTCTAGAAAGTTACATAGGCTATGTCGGCTAGGAATGGAGAATAGTCTAGAAAGTAAAAGAATTATGTAGCAAAGGCAATGGAATGGAGAGCTATGTCGGCTAGAACAACTATAAATAGGCATAAAGCCATGCATTGTATAGAATCAAGAAGTGTGTCAACAAGAAGAGTGTGAATAAGTAGAGTGAGCTAGAGAGTTAGTAGTTCTTGTGAGAAGTGTGAGTGAAGAGAGAAAGAGTCCTTGTAAGAATTTGTCTTTCCTTTGAGAGTTGTCTTGTTGTAATATTTGTTTACTTGTTTTGTCTCCA